GGCGCACCACCCGAAAGACGGGAAGGTAGCCTTGCATCCTTTGATGAAACATCAAATATAAGGCCGAGGCCATATGCCGAGACTAGATTGGTAGAAAACGGGCTCCTGAATATCGTAAGCCGACATAATCACAATTTGCTCGAAACGCGCGGAGAAGAATAACCACTGAGACGCACTGCTAACCCCGCAATTTATCACCACTATTTTGATCGAATCCATACACCGATTGGTTTGCTAGGATAAAACCAATCAGATAACAGACTGGTTTCTGATTGGTTGTGACTACCTACCGTTCAACCCAATCCGCCTGTCAAGCTTACAGCGCGCACTAAGCTGGTCCATCGGGCCAAGGAGATACACACGCACTGCCTGTCAGTCTATCGATTACTGCATTCAATTGGGGCGGTCGATTTCCACAGGGAGGGTAGCGGGTTAGGCGACAAAGACAGTTCCATTACTGACCGGTCGTGAGCAGTGCGCCACAACTCAGTGACGTCCGGCGAATTCTGCCCATCACGCCACCGCAACCATTTGTGCTACTATCATCATATGCATTGATGCTGTAGACAGCCTCACTTATGCAAGTGGCAGATATTTACGCAGACCTGTAGCCTCAAAAAGTTGAAATGGTTTGGTTTGTTCGGTCATGTATGCTATTCAGCTTTACTTGACACATGACTGGCATGGTTTGTGTGCTTTTGTTCCGATCATCCTATTGTTCATTAATGATAAGTTGACCAGAATGGCTCCATGAGAGGACGGAACGGAGAGCATAGGGATGCACATCTAGCGCTGACGTCTGCAACTTTTTCACGGAGTACATCTTGTCTGTACCATATTCTGCTCCATGCCAGTGCAATTTGAAATACTGCATAAGAAATTGAGCAAAACCGGTTTCGGAAAGTTTTGTTTCAGTGTCCCAAACAAACTGTCATGACGTACGCAGCCATCACCTTAAAAATGTCTTACCATTGTTTCTTCAGATAAGATGACCATATTGCCGTAGACCATTTTATGTGTGTTCGGCGCAGCTAAGTCCTGCGTCTGTGAGCAGCAAATAGGGGAAAGGTTTAGCCCAATCACTCTGCAATATGAGAGCAGGAATTAAGAGGCGAAGAATTCTTTTCATTGATTCATGTTCTGGCCTGTACAGATCAAATAGGAAAATGGACTTTTGAACGGGGATAGTCATTCAGTCATTCAAAAGTCACGGTGATTGATTGAATGGGGTGAGGGTGGTGCGATGTGTTTCACGCCCCTAGATCACCACAACACTGCAATCAACCTGTGATGCGTCATCCGTGCTGCGGTCGATCTTCGGTCACGGTAGTTGAAAAGCATGGACCAATCTCTTCTGTGCGCATAGACTCGGTTTGAATAAACGAATGCCGATCGCTTCCGCAGCGGCTAGGGTGTGGAGACACAGCGACTTGCAATATATTTCTAGAATTCTATGATTCCAGGATTGAGGCAACCGCGGTTCGAATACTGTCAATTAACGCCGAGTTGAGTCATCTTCGTCTGTAGCTCACTCGATCAGTGATCACCCCACCCCACCCCACCCCACCGAAACTTTCATTCTCGCTGGATAACCCACTCATAAAGAAATGTCGTTCACGGGGAAATTATATTCCAGTAAGTAATGGAGTATTTGATTCAATTTCAAAGGGGAATTCGTCGTGTATAGAGAAAATAAAGGGTGAACTGGAAAGCTAGGAAGCACTGCACAGCTATTCCGTGGCCCGCAACAAGCTCGCAAAGATGGGTTGTGCTAGATCGCGTAAATGGAAAATGAAAAGCGATTTGATCAGATGCCCGTTGGCCGATTGGGTAGCATGCTTCCGTTCTGCCTGTGAGGTCCCGGGTTCGATAGTTTCGCACTACTAGTGAGACCCAACCAGGTCGAAACAGCTGTCCAGTGCTTCGCAGCTTTTCAGTTCACACGACGGACACCCATTTGAAATTACATTCATGCGGACTGGGCGGGGTTTAGACAGACCCGGTTCGGCCGGTGACGTTTGACGGCCGAAAAACCGATCATTTTGTGGAATTCCCACGTAATGCTATTGGTTGGATTCACATGAAGTTGAAAAGGTATATTGTAGACTGAGGTAAAAAGTGACGTAAATTTTCGCACTAAAAAAACAAATAGACCTCACGAGAACTTTGTGATATGCTGCAGTATGACGTTAGCCTATAAGATGATTAAGCCTCCCTAAATGTTCTGTGGATTAACTAATTTATTGAATAACTGTACTGATCCAGGCCTACACGATGGCACCTACCCTGGAGCGACGCGGTAGAGTTTCAGGACATTCGCGATCAATCATGTTTGAATGCTGACGTCAATAGCACGTGCATAGCTTCTGAATACACGTCATTGGCAGATGGTGCCAGCCAATCCAAGACAATGCAGACAGAAGCAAGATTATGCAAGCAGTACTGCAATTCAATTGGTGGATGCCCAGGTAGCCAATAATCTCCCTTTGTACATCTTATTTAATCACCTTCATTTCCTCCAATAAACGAACTACTTACTGTCCTCTGGCCTTTTCCTCGCGTCTCATTCTCGTGGGACATTGCTTCTGCGATGCAGTTGTGATAGCTGATCGATTCGGGTCCTGTAATTCCTATTGCGTGGTTGGTGTTCCGAATTCCGTGCGAATTAGTACTACTACTACCACTACCACTACTACTACTACTACTACTACTAATAATAATAATAATAATACAATCATTACAATAACATTTAAAACAAACAAGAGTACAACTGACACGGTCAGCGATTGTACAAGTCCACAGCAACACAACATTCAAGTTTTTAGCATAATAAGGAGAACTAAAGGTTAATAAATGAGGATTGCTCATATGTTACAGGATCAACCATTGTGATACCGATAAGTTGACAACTGTTGAGCGCATCTGTAATGATTGTAGAAGTAGTAGTAGTAATACGCACGGAATTCGGAACACCAACCACGCAATAGGAATTACAGGACCCGAATCGATCAGCTATCACAACTGCATCGCAGAAGCAATGTCCCACGAGAATGAGACGCGAGGAAAAGGCCAGAGGACAGTAAGTAGTTCGTTTATTGGAGGAAATGAAGGTGATTAAATAAGATGTACAAAGGGAGATTATTGGCTACCTGGGCATCCACCAATTGAATTGCAGTACTGCTTGCATAATCTTGCTTCTGTCTGCATTGTCTTGGATTGGCTGGCACCATCTGCCAATGACGTGTATTCAGAAGCTATGCACGTGCTATTGACGTCAGCATTCAAACATGATTGATCGCGAATGTCCTGAAACTCTACCGCGTCGCTCCAGGGTAGGCGCCTTCGTGTAGGCCTGGATCACCACAATTACTTATTCAGATAAGAGTAGAGTAATCGACAATTTTGGTTCGCTCAAGTACAAGCGCAATCGTGAATCATCTGTGCCATACAAGGCAGTTCTATCTGTTTGGAAGAGGAGCTAAAACAAACAACGAAAACGAGTACTCGTTTTGCGAAACGATCAAAGCCGACGGAGCTCAGATGTAAATTCTGAAAGGTACCCGCTATCAGGCTGCTGTGGCGATGCACCTGCAACGAATGAACAGCAAGGCGATTATCAGTGCATCTCGAAGAACACTACTGATACCAATTTGCTTTTAGGGGAGCCGAAGATTATACATATTTCAGTTTAGTTTGATATTAGTATTGTTTTTCATGTGTGGGTTTTCCACAATCTTGAAATATATTAGCCCTGTCGGGCTGCGAAACGCTAACTTCCGGGTTGGTTGTCTAAACCCCTACCCCTGAGGTACACGGTCGAAAGTTAATTTCATAAACGCACGTAGCAGAAATGTGTTCACTTTACCTATTGCTTAGTTGACAAGAAAAACGGAGCGCTCAACAGACAGTCACATATCCTTCTTTATCACTGTATAACGCGTACCACTCAGCTATCATTACTAGAACGACAAACTTACGGACACTGTTGAAGGATGAAACGGCTATTCGATGTATTTTATCGGTTATTGCGTCACAATTCTTCACGAACAGGATATTCTCATAAATTTTGAACTGTGCACGTGTGACATATGTCTGATACCTGGAAAACTATGCCATAGATAACGTGGAACTCATCTAAAACGTGCACCGTCAAGATAAATAGATGAAAATTTCCACAAAATCAACTGACAAGTCAGAAGGATAAGCCAAGAGATCAAGCTTCCTGATCGAATGACTGGACAGTGGACTGCAAGAAGAATTTTAAAAACTACATAATTGATTTCATGTTATTATCTCGGGGATATTTTATTAATACTTCCTGTTACTCGTGATTCAACACTCTCCACAAAGGAGGGGATGGATAAACTGAAAATAACGGAGGTATGGCAGCAATGAAATTATACCAGATTCGGCGGAACTGATCAAGCATAGGGGAAGGGTTTAATTGTCGTATTGCCAATCACATATGACAAGAGAATTTTAGATACAGTTAACATCAAATTGTTTGTATGTATGCGTAATGAGATGGGACCAATTTGAGCAAGCAATCAAAACTCACCGGATCCAAGAAAATCAATTGTTTATATGTATGTACAATAAATGTGAGATCAACCAGGTGGTGGGACGACGACAAATGTTTGACTAAATGAATGAGCACTGTCTTCGAATTCGATCTAAACAAGTTCACAATTCACGATGAACGTTCTCAATGCCGGCGGTATGGGTAGATGCAGCGCTATACAACTCAATGGTTTTGAACCCTGACCTGGAGCAGTGGACAAAGATCGACGAATCAGTAGCCGAATTTGAAGCTTTGCCAGTGTGCGTAAACTCAACGGCTCTGACTGGATTCGAACAAACCATTCGCGAAACCAATCCGAAATGGTGGACAGAGTTGAAGATACCGTGAGATCTGTTAGATTTGAACCCTCAATGGGCAGTAGACCGGTCAGTTGTTCGGGAAGAACCAAGTGATTCTGTGTTTCCGTGTACGCAAGTACTAGACAATCAGCTAACAAGGATATATGGGATTGGGCTCGACGGGGCCAGTCGTGTAGATTGCGAATCAAATACAAGGCCATAGCGGGTGAATAATCCAGAACCGTTTCCAGGAGAGTGCGATGCGAAAGCACATGAACTGTGCTAGTGATGAGACCGTGTGGGCGTGTTTGAGGTGCAGGCTTTTCATGGACCCAAGGCAACAGATAACGTGAGGCGAATGAGATAAACAATGGATGACCGGGTGCATTACAAGAAGCTGGAAACGAGGAAAGAACTTTGAACAGAAGATTTTCCTGATCTCCACATTGATCTGGTCGCATAGATGGACAATGCGAAAGGATATGATCAACCAGATTTTCTAACTCTTGACAAATTACCGGCAAACAAATAGTGTTTGAGTCCGCTACAGAGATGGCTCGAAGTGCGGTCAGGGGAAAAACTTCGCACCAGAAAAAATCAGGTGCAGAGCGTGAATGTCTTACGGTGTGCAATTCGAACAGCGTGGACAAGCTACATCCGTCATAACCAATACGTGTGCATATCGCGCTCCAACTTGTTAGCCAACCGGGATGAGGAAATTTTAGAGATAAAGTGGCAAAGTAAAGCACCAATGGAGTTAAACTGGGATCATGAATCAACGGGACTGGATGATTCGCGGTGGATAGATCAGATAGGAGTTTATCCTGTTCAACGGGGTCATCGATGTGACCGAAAGGGACACCCCATTCGTTAAGCAAACGTAGCCACGCGCGAACTGATCGAGGGGGTTCCAGTACACCCAACTGTTGCAAGCGATGAACGGAATCAAGCGTTCTGGTTTGGGGAACAAGTTTTCGAAGACAAAAAGAAGTGATTCTGCGCAATCCCTCAACGACTTCTTCGCGGTGTCTGGACCAGCGATCTGTTGCATCCACGCACAAATAAACCAGCAATTCTTCCAATCCAGGAGTTGATGGCTCCCACTGAGAAAAGGAAGTAAATAGTTATGTCGTGAAAATAAACGAATAATCATCGTTCCTTTTTCGTGCTACAGAGCCCACGTAGTACAGAAGCACTGATCGGAACCCATTGATACTATGCAAATTTGAGCA